AAGCGTGTGTTCTCATTATCCTTGCATTGTAGTCGTACAGATGCACTGGGATGCTTCACTACTGTGAGGTTTGTGGGGGGAGTGGGAATACTGAAGAGTTCCTTGCATCTGATGTTGTTGTTATGTACTTCCTCTTTACATGCACGTAGTTTTAAAGATAAGGTACTGGGCCTCAGTAAAAAGGGAATTTCTGCTTTTCTGGTTTTCATCTTTCTTTTGTAGTATAGTCTCTCTGAGAGGTAAATGCTCGTGCCTGTGAATCCAAACCTGCAGCTTCTCTGATCATTTTGCCATTGTTGTCAGTGGAACGAGTAAGTCTGTACTCAGAAATTTAAGTCTTGAGGACTCTTTCCAGTTTCCATTTTAAACTGAAATATTGAAGTGTTCTTGTTTTTTGAAATTTGGTCTTTACTGTGCTTATTTTTGGTTTTGCTAAGATAATAGTTTGGCAAGATTTGAAGGAAAAGGAAAGTGTAAATATAAAAATGAAAAGTAAATCAAAGAATAGCAGTAGATATTCAAACATCCTGAATAATATGGTTTTTTAAAAAATATGATAACGGTTTTAGTGTACTGGTTATTAATTACAGCTTTTGTGATCACAAGTAATAACTGAACGTATAAAATGAGAGACAGGGAAGAAAAGACCTCCCAGGTTTCTGCGGCTAAAATGCCCAGAGAGGAAATGTTTTGGTTTGGTCATGGCTAACCACAGAACTACATTCAGCCATTAGGCAGGGGGAAGAAGGAGACAGAGCTTTTTCTTATTAGGTAATTCTTGAAATGAACTTATCACCTGAATAGTGGGAAATATTTGTGAAAAACACAACCTTTTTCTAGCTAGCAGCAACATCTACCTCATATTTTGTCAGCTTGGATCTATTGTGTGCTGCTTTAGTCCAAAGATACAGCCAGGCACGGTTACCCAGCTGTGACATCTAGGCAAATTAGTTATAAAAGCAGCTTTTGGCTGCCACTGCCTGCACACTGATGTTGGTCTTTGATTCAGACGGAGCAGTGAGCTTTGTTTCTGTCGCTGTTAGAGCGCAATGTGCATCATGGGTACGTACCGCCTTAGCCGCACTGCGGGAATGACCCTTATCTCACCGCCCTGCTGATGAAGCCCACAGATCCTACTTGCATGCACATATGTCACTGCAGCTGATGGATTTTAATTTAAAAGTGTTTGCAGAGTGTGTGGCCTAGCTCTTGCAGGAAGTCTAGAGCCATACAGACACAGAAGAAAAGAAGATGCCTGAATCCATCTATTTTTGGTATTTAGCACTGGTTTATAGCCATTATAAAAAGGGAAATTAATCTGATTTTCACCCATAGTTTTACATATCCATTGAGATATGTTAAAAAGACTGTACTCAGTTTCCATTTTTTGTAAGCCTTTCTTCCTCCCTATTGTTCCTTGATACAGTGGTGTTTGGGGTTTTTTTTAACAGTATTACAAGTTGAGGTTTATGCAGGAAGAAACTTGCAGTGTCAATTTCTGATAAAATACTGATTTAGTCAGTGCTGGCCACTCTTTCAAAAAAGTAATTTAGATGTACAAAGAAACAAAGTTTTTTGATGGCTTTCTTAAAGTTTTGTTCATACAAAGTCTTATTAATAGTGCTAACTATTTTTAAATATTTAATTTCCATTTTCACTATTTAGCTGCTCCATTCTCTGCTTCTTTGTAAAATACTGGCAAGGAACCTTTATCTTTCTGTGGCTTGGCAGATAATGAATGTCTACTTTCTGCTGAAACAGGAGTGTGATAAAACAATTGGAGTTCTAAAAATGAAAGATTAATTTCAACTGTGTTGCCTTCTCCTAATACTACACAGTCAGAATACTCAACATATTGACGGTCTCCCTAGTAATATGCCATTGCACATTGCAGAGAGATGAACCAAATTCACCCGCTAGAATTTTTTTAAGCACTGAAATTAGTAATTCTACTGGGCATGTATAGTACGTGGGCGGCAGATGCCTCAAAACAGAGACCTTTACTAAGAAGTTCTTTCTAATTCCAGTTGGGACTGGGTCAAGTGTTACATTGTCCATTTCTGCAGTGTGCTTAATGTACTTCATTTCTCATCCATCTGAGAAAGACAGCGCGTGCAGAGTGGCTACTGGAAGTGGTGTGAGAGGTGTCTAACTACTCCCCTAGTCATAGCAGGGCTTATTCTAATTCTTGTTGCCAGCCTAGAGCACAGTCTCTGACATTTTTGTGTGTTGGCATTTTTAATAAGTGAATAGATAAAAACTGCCCTTATAACCCTGCAGTGCCTGGCTCGTGTTCTGAGTCTGTTTTGAAGCAGAGGTACCCTTTCTAAGCATGCAGTCTTTCAAAATAGACATGGCAGGATTATTCTCAATTCCACACTCCTGTTCCACAATGCCCTGTGTCCGCTTCCTCCATAGTGGATCAGTACATCTTGTCATCCTTAAAGCTTCACACAAGTCATATTTGTTGAATTATTTTTCTTTTTCGAACACATGTAAAGTAAGAAAAAGTAGAAAGCAAGCTGCTTTTCTTTGTTGGTGATTTATTTTTGTGAAAGAACTCATATGAAGCTTCAGCTGCTCTTAAACGGACAAGGAGGAGCTGAATGGGAGAAAGCCCTCAACTATGCAGTACTGACTGTGCACGCTTGTTTGCTGGAAAGGGCTGCCATACTGTCGTACAGGAGGCTGCCTGTTGTAAATGATAATTACTTCCCTGCTTCAGAGGTCAGATGTGATGGCAGGGAATAGGCCTATAAGCAAAATGAGATCAGGCGTTACGATCAGTCAAGGATCATAGTTATGTCTGGAAAAACTACAAAAGATAAATTATAAATAAAGAAGAAACCTGTAACTTTAATCAGAGCACCAGGCAAACCCATTTCCAATTTTTTTCTGATTAGGGCAGTACCCTTATTGTTGATGAAAAGGTTAAGTGATCCATTGAAGGCATCGTTATTAAAATGTCAACATGAGATTATAATCAGTATGGAAGGGTTATTAAATAGAAAACCATTTAAGGGTGAGGAAGGCAAAAAAAGTCACAGAACCTAAGGGGGAAATAGTGATAATTCCTGACTTCCTGTTAAAAACAAATTTACCATACTTGTATGAAAAGTACCTACAAATAAGCTTGTAACTAGGAATCTGTGATGTACAAAATAGCGTGGCCTCACAGTCAGCAGAACAGAGAAATGTATTTTAGTATTTAAAGAGAGAACGGGAAGCAGTTTAGTATCCTAGTAATTTCTTTAGCGGATGCTTTAGAAAGAATGATTTGTTTGTTTCTAATGGGTGGTTACACAGTTTCAATGTCACTAGCAAAACTCTGGATAATTTATCATTTTTAACTTGAAAGCCAGCTGTATCACGGAGGGAAAGGGATTAGTTTCCTGTCAGCTTCCTTTTTGGAAAAAGTGATGTGTGCACACTGAAAATATTTCCAGCTTGGGTAAAGTATGTTTGAAAATGCCTTTTGGGTAGAGTCGTATTTTGATGGGCAAAGAAAGAGGGCTTGCTTTTTCAGTTTTGCATGTTTCTATAAACATTTTTAGAAATCTAAGGGGCTTTTTTCTCTTTCACTTTAAAAAGTACGCACTGTTCAAGCTAGGAGAGTTCTGCCAGCGTTAACTTTGATCTCTTCCGGCACTGCGGTCCGGTGGAGAACATTCTTTCAGAAATCGCTCTGTACTTTGAACTGTGGAAGGGACTGCTGTGGTACGTGTGCAGCAAGGGTCACAGCATTTCGTTTCTGAGAGGAACATAAGGGCTTTATTTTTTATGTTCCTATACCTGTGACTGAAAGCAAAATAAGAAAAACAGGGTGTGGTGGGAATGTGGAATTTTACTCCTTTGGAGTTTGGATGTACCTGTCCCTAAAACAAAAGGTAGGGGAAGTACTGCAAATGCTTATATTCATGCATGTGTGGAGTGTTTACTAAGTCTTTTGAGTGATTTAAAAACAAGCAAAATTTCATTTTTCTGTCAAGGCTCTTGTGCACAGGATGAGGCAGATAGTAAATATTTATGTGAGACTTACGAAAAAGACATAATGTGGAAGAGTGAAAGTGCATACACTGTTGCAATGTGAGACTGCCCTACTGTAAATATAAAAGAAATACAAATTACTATTAGTCATGGGTACTTCAGGCTAAACCTTGACTAGGACTTAGTTTTAAAATGTTTCCTTATTGTGTACAGTAACTCCTTTAGTATATAGCTTTTTCTTTCCTTTATTCCTTGGCAAAACAGCATTCATATGAAAGCAAAGTGTTTTATTTGCCACATAACTCCTGTTGTGTTTTCACTACCTGAAACTATTTTGCTTTCATTAGCTAGAAACACCATCCCTTGGGATGCTTTACTACAAAGCATGCCAGAAGTATCCCATGGGAGCAATCTTTCACTAACAGAGAAATAAATGAGATTTCTCCTATAGGTACTTTTTCCTGACTTCAGTTTCTAGAAACACAGTAGCTCACAAGATCAATTAAATCCCAAATGTCCTTTGAGTAACGTGGAAGTAATCCTTTTATGTCAAACTGTAATGTAACAGTAAGAAAGTATTGCTTTTATTTGTCAAAGCAAGGAAAGACACAAATAAGCTTCTGTGGTTTTGGAGTAGAACAACTTGGAAATGAGCAGTCTTAGAAGAAATTAAAAGTTTCTATTTATTTTACACAGTAGCTGCTGAGTGACTTACACAGGATGTTATTGCTAATTACTGTATAAAGTTGAACAATGCTTGGAATCTCCATTCTCTCACTTAACTCATGCTCTAAAGATGACCTCTGCAAGAGAAACAGAGACTGGCCTAAATTACAGTGAAAGCTGTGGTGTTTGACATGAAAGCCACATTACACTGTTCTAACTGCATCTGAATTTGAGCAAAATGTGCTGGACACATAAAGTGATACAGAGCAAAACTATGCTATTTGTTGCTGAGAATTTTGGTACATGATGCTCACCTGAGGATTTTCCTGTCTTTTCATTCTGTCTAGTGTTGAGGGTGAAGCTCCAAGCAGTGAAACTGGCACATCTTTGGACAGCCCATCTACTTACCATCAAGGACCTATAACACACAGTTCAGCTATCAGTCCAGACCATTACGATCATTCTGCTTACGGGCTGTACTCTGTCTCCCCTGGACAACAAAGGTCTCGGAGGCCGAAACTTCAGCACTCAACATCCATACTGCGAAAACAAGCAGAGGAAGAAGCTATTAAAAGGTCAAGATCGCTTTCTGAGAGCTATGAACTCTCTTCAGACCTACAAGATAAGCAGGTATTTGAGCTTTGTTACCTGATTTATGACAATGGCAATGCGCCTGTAAGCTGATCTTTTCAGCTGTGATGCTGAAAATACCTTTTTTTCCTGCAACCAACTTAGTTCAAAATAGTCATACGTCAGCGTTTTTGAGGCTTTTGACTGGCTTTTTTCTGTGTTGTGTCATCCCTGTGTCCCACGCACCCTCCCACCTTTTTGAAGAAATTCATAAAAGATATGTTAATAGTGTTAAAAATAAAAACAGTTCTACTAGGAGTTGTGATTTCATGCTTGATGCAAGTACTAGAATGTAATAATGCAAAATATTTTTCTAAGAAAAGGAGTCATTTTGAAACCTTGATATCTTTGTTGTTGCTGAAAGAAAGGAAGAACTTACTGCATCTGATGTTCTCTCACATCTGTGGGGTGAATTCAAGGTCTTGGTTAGTTTTACTCAACTAGGCAAAACTCCCATATACTTTACAAAGAACTGGATGGAAGCTATGTGGAGTTTCAAAGCCTTTGTCCCTAAAAAAGTGCTTCTGTAAGACAGTCAGCCTCAGCCATTCCTTTTAAGCTTTATTCTGAGTGTAGTCCTATTTAAAAGATGTTTCTTGCCATATAAGATCATGTTTATAATTTGAAAATGAAGCTGTAATAGCTTAAGGTAAGCAAATATGCAGGATGCACTGGATTTCACTGATAGATGAACGGTAGCCAATTCATCCATGTTTTGGGGTTTTGTTTTTTGCGGGTGGGGGGTGGGAGGGGTGGTGTTAGAGATCTTTCTTGCCACAGAAGATTTTGTTTACTGTGAATCACTGTGGTATATTGCATAGTCACTCCAACTTGTATGTTAACATGGCGAAAGTGGAAGCAGGCAAAATACTGCAGACAGGAAGCAACTGCTCCTGATTTTGGACCACACATTGATAGTCAGTGGAATTTATAGGGGCTAAGTCTCATTTTCCATCTGTTTATTGTTCTAAAATTTCAGGTTGGAAAATCATGAAATGTTGTTCCAGAGAGGCCTGGAAGAACAGAGCTTTAGCCCTGACAAAGTTGAAGCCAATAGTTGGGATAGCGAGCATGAGTTCAGTTTAGCCTTTATGCCTATCAAATTCTAGACTGGAGTGGGGACATACCAAGTTCCTGATTCTTGATCTGGATTATGCCAGCTCTGCTATTAAATTGGACCTCCCTGTGCGATCTAAAATGCTACTTCCTTTCCTACCTTTGGCTGTCATTTCTGCTAGAAGTCTCATAAGGGATCGATACAGAGTGTTAAGCTTACTAAAGAGGTCTCTTGCGCTGCAAATACTCACAGAGCCTAATTCCATCTGTCCTTTTGTGCCAGTTTGATAGAAAATGAGGCCTGCAAATGTTATTTTGTATTTGTTTAGGGAGTCCTACACAATAAAAAGTGACAATGATACATAAAGGAAGCTTGATACTGAGGAGTTGCTTACTGCTCTTGAAAAGCTCTTGTTGACATCTCAGAAGATACTTAAACACTATTTAGGAAAATGTTCGAGGCTTTACCTACAGGCAGTGTGCATTAAAGATGCATTTAAAAGATGCATTAAATATGCATTAAAATTTATTAGAAATATTATTCACAAGTCTAGTAAATCATCTAGGCAATTCCCAAATGCTCTCAATTAAAATTCCTACTAAAACCATCTAATTTATGATAATCAATGATGATGTCATTTTCATAGAAACATTTCATAGAATCATTTTCTGTGTAAACCTGAAGGAGATCATCTTTCATGTGGAGGGGGAATGCGAGCTGCTGAA